TTAAGTAATTTTATTTTTATTACATTCACAGTTTAAAATGGAAAGGTATAAAATTGTATATAATGGAAGATATCTCTTTACTCCTGTCTCTTATACTCTTCCTCAAAATTTCTAGTTGTGGTATATAATTCCAGAGAATGAATATAAATATGCACACACATATAGTGTGTGTGTGTGTGTGTATTCTACAAATTGTAGCATATTGTTTTATGTTAAATAGGTATCATGACATCCTATTAAGTAATCAGTTCCCAAATGAATAATACTAATACTGTTTTATATGTTTACTTTTGCTAACAGCACTGCAGTGAATAGTTTATACAGACAGGAGTAAACCTGTAGGCACATTTTTAGAATTTTGTTAAGTGGTATGTGCAAATGTAATTTTGGTAGATTTTATTAAATTGCTTTCCACTGAGATTCTGCCAGTTTGTTGCTATCAGCAATGTTAGGATGTTTCTATATAACATCACCAGGAGAATAATTACCAAGCCTTTGATCTTTGTCAGTCGGATACATGAAAAGTGATATTTTGGTATAGTCTTAATTTTCATTTTTCTTATTAATGTAAGGTTGGGCATAATTTAAGATGCATTTGTGAGGGGTTTTTTGGGTTCATTTTTCTGTCATTTTGCTGTTTGCTTGTTGTTTATAGGACCTTTTTGTTTTGTTTCTTTTTATTTATATGTGCTAGATATACATTTTTTCAGGGTATATGTGATAATTAGATACATAAATATAACCAAATTGGGTAATTGGAATATTGTTTTACTTTATACTTTTTAAAATTTGTTTTTTTTTTTAAATTAAAATTACATTTTCATAATTTAACCAAGTGATTCTACAAGGCTTGGTGGTTTCTGCATTCCTCCTCTTAAAGAAGTTTCCTTCAAAACAACCATTTCGAACTCTTAACATCTGATTCCTTTGGAATTTATCTTCATATCTAAATAATGCGTTTCTCGTGCTGCTTTTTGATTTTTCACTTTTGGAAATTATTGATCTCCCATTTTGGAAGGTGAGAATTAGGTCTTTCATTTTACTACCCCCATTACAGACACATACATCTGGCCCCCCCAAAACACATTCTCTCTGTCTCTTAATCTTTACATTCAAGGTAAAGTCTATTATTAAGCAAGTAAATGCTTTAAAGAAGGTAGTATAGTAGAGGGCATTTGGGAAATAAATGTTTGGAAGTGATTTAATGAGTTTTGTTCGTGGAAAAAAAAATCTATACCACACGGTCAAATTTGCATTATATTTTCTGGAAACACTCATATGTATGCGCCAAGATTGTTCAAAGCAGCATTGTACCTTAAAGAAAAAGTGAGAAATAACTTGAATGTTAATTGATAGTAGAATGGATAAATAAATGGTGATACACACATATAAGGGAATACCAGTGAATGAACTACAACTCTGCATCAATGTAGATGAATCTCAGAATACAGTGTTGCACGAGAAAAATAAATATTGACATAATAGTACATACTTCACTTTGTATCATTAAAAAGTGCCAAATCCATAAAACAGAACACTACACATGAATATAGTTAAACTGCAAGGGATACTAATTACAAAATTCAGGATAGTGACCACCTTGGGACAGAGAGGAATGTGACTGGGGAGAGGCTAAATAGTAGGCTTTTTTATTATGTTCTGTTTCTTTTTTTTTTTGAGACGGAGTTTCGCTCCTGTTACCCAGGCTGGAGTGCAATGGCGTGATCTCGGCTCACTGCAACCTCTGCCTCCTGGGTTCAGGCAATTCTCCTGCCTCAGCCTCCTGAGTAGCTGGGATTACAGGCACGTGCCACCATGCCCAGCTAATTTTTTTGTATTTTTAGTAGAGACGGGGGTTTCACCATGTTGACTGGGATGGTCTCAATCTCTTGACCTCGTGATCCACCCGCCTCGGCCTCCCAAAGTGCTGGGATTACAGGCTTGAGCCACCGCACCCGGCCCATGTTCTGTTTCGTTTCGTAAATTGTGTGGTTGTATGCATGGGTGTTTGTTTTATTACTCTTTAACTATATAAACACATTATATAAGCTCTTATATGTATGATAGTTTATAATATTTACAAAATAAAATCATGGCCGGATGTGGTGGCTCACGCCTTGTAATCCTAGCACCTTGGAAGGCTGAGGCAGGCAGATCATAAGGTTGAGAGATCGAGACCATCTTGGCCAACATGGTGAAATCCTGTTTCTACTAAAAATACAAAATTAGCTGGGCATGATGTTGTGCACCTGTATTCCTAGCCACTCAGGAGGCTAAGGCAGGAGAATCGCTTGAACCTGGGAGGCGGAGGTTGCAGTGAGCTGAGATCGCACCATTGCACTCCAGCCTGGAGATGAGCAAGACTCTGTCTCAAAGGAATAAAATAAAATAAGATAAAATAATTATGAGACAACCCCAACTTTCAAATGAGATCAATGTGGAACTTTAAAAGAAAATTACCAATTTGCAAAAGAATGGAATTCCTGATTCAGCCAGCAGGTATGCTGGTGACCTAAGCTTAGTCAGTTAGATACCTGTTCCCAGGACTCTGCATCTTGAGCAAGTGACTTTCAGAGAGAAAACAGAAGGTAGGAGTCATTACAGAAATGAGCAGTAGGAGGCAAGCAAAGCCATTGTTGGTGTATCCTTCATTGTGTTTTGCAGCCCAACCTCAGGGGCTTTTTGTTTCTTGATGGTTTTCTAGTCTGGCATTCCAGGATCCCTCCCATTCTTAGGGAACCTAACAGCTTTTTATTGAAGACCTCACCATCTTTCCTTCTTTCCTCTCTTTATTCTTAAATTAAAGACAGATTTGGAAATTGAAATTTCTAAACTTAAAAAAAAAAAGCCTTATAAATGCAGAGTTCTTGTGATTTTGAACTTGTCAAAATGTAAAACAGCAGTACCTTAATTGCAGGAGCATCAGGGAAGATGAAAATGGCAACAAAACTTTTTTTCCATAGTTGGTAGATGGGACTGAAATGTGATTTAAGCCTGGCTGAGGTGGCTCACGCCTTTAATTCCAGCACTTTGGGAGGCCAAGGCAGGAGGATCCCTGGAGGCCAGGGGTTTGAGACCACCCTGGGCAACATGGTGAAACTCAAAACCCCGTCTGTACAAAAAAAAGCAAAAAACAAAAATGAGCAAGGTGTGGTGGCACATGCATATAGTCCCAGCTACTTGGGAGGCTGAAGCAGGAGAATAACTTGTGAACCTGGGAGGTGGAGGTTGCGGTGAGCTGAGATGGTGCCACTCGATAGAGCAAGACCACCTCAAAAAACAAAAAGTGATTTAATAAATACAACAATTCTGTTTCATTTGCACTTTAAAATTGTCTTTTCAGATGAAATAGCCTTTACAAGCAAGCATATAAAAATGTACTTACTTTCAAATCATTGTATGTCTGTTTAATCACAGAGAATTAAACCAGCATGTTCAAAAGTAAGCATATTCTCTTACATTGTTCTCAGTACAAAATAATGACATTTTACTGTAGAATGAAAAATAAATTTTTCATGATTTTAATCTTATCCTTTTAGGACTCCTTTTCTTTAAGTATATTTATAATTTATTAATACAGTATTACATATAACACAGGAAAATTCTAAGTATAAAACTGATATATAACAAATATTTGCATGTATATATATATATATATATATATATAGAGAGAGAGAGAGAGAGAGAGAGAGAGAGGTTCATCAGATTTTTTAAAATGGGAATATGTAATTTTATTGTAAAATTCAATAATGGTCATACCTGAAAAAAGTCTCACAAAGATACCTAGACCCAAATGGAAGTAAATTGATCTAGACCAGTATCTCTCAAAACCTTAAATCACCAGCATGTTTTTTTGATGATCCCATCCAAGATCGATTGAAAAAAAAATCTTTAGGTGTGGGAACAGGGCTGTGGAGTCTGCATTTTGAGCAGATATAGCAGTAAACATTTTATGGTCTTTATTGTGTTTTAAGTGCTGTTCTAAGAACATTACATTGACTCATTTTTCGTGGCAGCCCTGTGAGATACAGGTACAGGTGACTAAGAAATTTGCCCAAGGTCACCTAATTAGAGTATAGGGTCAGTATTGTATGTAAAAAAACATACCAGAGAATTCTTTTGCCTACTTTTGGGAACCATTACTCTAGTCTAAGTCATTTGAAATTGGGAAAATTTTATTCTACAAAATAGTTAAAGTTGGGTAGGCGGGGAGTGGGTGATGCGTAGTAGTAGTTTCCAGTTCTAAGTCTTCGTCAGTCAACACTGGGTAGCTACTTCATGGATTATAAATTTAGCAATGTGAAGTCCCTTTTTTAGCACCATGTTAAAGTTGTGTTTTTAACAGCATCCAAGTAATGATACAGTTTTCAGTTTTATAAATACATAGTAAAAGTGATAAAACCAAATGTGTGTAGAATGGAGATTTTTTATGTTTTAATTGAATTGTTGGGTTGTCTTTAGGATCACTGAGAGGAGAAATCTTGATTTCAATACTCGCTTTTGAAAGTCTTCTAAAATATATTAGCATATCTTTTTACCTTGATTTATTGAACAACCTGATTCACTATTATGAATATTCTCATTGTCCAGTCTACTGTAAACTTACATGTTGGACTCTAGACTCACCTTGTAAATTAAATTAAAATAAAATTATTAATGAAGTCTTATTTCTTGCTTTTCCTTTCTCCTAGAACAGAGATCTCAATGTGACTGCACATAAAAATCACCAGAGAGGCTTTTAAAAGATGATATCTGTGTCCCATCCCTAGAGATTCTGAGTTAATTGGTCTGATGATTCTTATGTGCTAGGGCTGAGAAACCACTGTTGTAGAAGTAGGATATAGGGGAGGAAGTTTCTTGGGCTTTTGTGGTTGTTCCTGTAAATTAGGATAATACTCAAAAATATACTTGAGGTAGGAGTTACTAGACTATAGATGGAATATTGTAGATACATTTTCTGTCAAATTTAAACTTTTAACACCTGCAATTTTTTTTTTCAGATTTATTGCTAAACATGGGTGCATTTTTGGATAAACCCAAAACTGAAAAACATAATGCTCATGGTGCTGGGAATGGTTTACGTTATGGCCTGAGCAGCATGCAAGGATGGAGAGTGGAAATGGAAGATGCACACACAGCTGTTGTAGGTATTCCTCATGGCTTAGAAGACTGGTCATTTTTTGCAGTTTATGATGGTCATGCTGGATCCCGAGTGGCAAATTACTGCTCAACACATTTATTAGAACACATCACTACCAACGAAGACTTTAGGGCAGCTGGAAAATCAGGATCTGCTCTTGAGCTTTCAGTGGAAAATGTTAAGAATGGTATCAGAACTGGCTTTTTGAAAATTGATGAATACATGCGTAACTTTTCAGACCTCAGAAACGGAATGGACAGGAGTGGTTCAACTGCAGTGGGAGTTATGATTTCACCTAAGCATATCTACTTTATCAACTGTGGTGATTCACGTGCTGTTCTGTCTAGGAATGGACAAGTCTGCTTTTCTACCCAGGATCACAAACCTTGCAATCCAAGGGAAAAGGAGCGAATCCAAAATGCAGGAGGCAGCGTGATGATACAACGTGTGAATGGTTCATTAGCAGTGTCTCGTGCTCTGGGGGACTATGATTACAAGTGTGTTGATGGCAAGGGCCCAACGGAACAACTTGTTTCTCCAGAGCCTGAGGTTTATGAAATCTTAAGAGCAGAAGAGGATGAATTTATCATCTTGGCTTGTGATGGGATCTGGGATGTTATGAGTAATGAGGAGCTCTGTGAATTTGTTAAATCTAGGCTTGAGGTATCTGATGACCTGGAAAATGTGTGCAATTGGGTAGTGGACACTTGTTTACATAAGGTATGTAAATTTTTTGTCATTAAAATTGTATGTTAATTTTGAAAAGGTATGGTAGATAAAGTTAAACAAACTTAAAATTTTAAAACTTTTAATATTTTTCATAGAAGCTATATATTTTAAAATTCTTTCTTTACCAGAAATGAAACCATGCTTTCTTAGCCATCCTTGTCTGTTCCAACCTTCTAATTTGAAAATTAAACTTGTTAAATTTGAGGTATTTGTTGTCATTTAAATACTTTATGGCTTGTTGCTGTAGCAGAGGCATTTACACAGAATTGTGACATTTTCTTGACATTGGCAGTAGCCATCTTATGCCTGATTGTGAAGCAGCTTGATAAAATATATATATATAATAGAATTCTGTAGTAGATATTACTAAAAGATAAAGAGCCACATAAAATACTGGAAGATGTACTAGATGCCTAGCGTATATAAAATTTAGTTCTGAGCCTCCTAGCAGTGAAAACAAAAACTGAAATAAAAATATGGATTGTATATTACTCATTGTCTTCTAAAAGCAGCTTTTATCTGACAATACAGATTTACATGTGGCTCTCTTTGTAAGTAATATATAACTTGATAGATGGTATCTTTTCTAGAAGATAAAATTCTTTTCATATAGATGTTTTTATCACTTCTGATTGAAAACCAAAGGCTTATATAAAATATAATCTTGTGGAAAAATTCCTGTGGAACACCAAAGTTTATTTAGATTTCTAATTTTCTATGAATCATTGCTTGATACATAATAGAAAAAAAGTCCAGAGTAATAGATACTTGGCAATTCTTTTGAATGTCTTTAAAATACTCAGTTGTTTCAACTGGATTTTTGACAGCATCTATGTATAATTCAGTTAAAATTTGAGTTGTTTGGACAGTGTCTGGAGTGTGTAAGTATTCTCTGACTGAAAAGATATCAAGGTAAAACTGACCTTTAGTTCTATGAAATAAAGGGTTTAACTTATTTATTCTATCTAGAACCATTCTGTCTCCCTACTGTAAAATTTACTGTGAAAGTTATGGGCATAACCAGAAGGTTTTTCACAAAGGATCTCTGGGCCTACGGAAATGCCCAGATTTTGGTGAAATATCAATTATTTTTAATAGAATGGAAAGAGACCATTTCAGAAACAAAATTTAAAGGCTGTTGTCAGTAGACAGCTTTTTTCTGAAAAGATTTTAGTGATGGTATCTCTAGTTCCTCTGATTTTTATTTTTAACACACTGTATCTTTTTTACATCTGGATAAGTTAAGTAAAGAAGTATTGATGGTTGTCAGTCTTCAAATAGTAAGTGGGTCTAAAATTAATATATTTGTCTTTGAACTCTAAATGAAACAATTCTGACCTGTAGCTTTTGGAGACAAGCACAGGGGTATGTTTGTTGCCTGTGTTTTCCCCAATTATTAAAAAAAAAAAGTATACTTATTATTGGGAAAAAAATCCAGATGTTACAGAAAATATACACAACACTCAAAATGTTGCCATCCCCCGAAGTCAGCTACTTTCATTGTTGTAGTGTATATCTTTCCAGTCTTTTCTGCCTGCCTGCAATTACGTGTATTTTTATAAAACTGAGATCATTATACTTGTTATTCTACAGCCTGTCTTTTCCAACAATATATTGTAGAGAGATCTCCATGGCTATAAGTATTGATGTATATCATTTTTCTTGGCTGATAGTATATTATTGAAAGAATGTGGTTTTGAGAGAATAGCCAAAAAAATCTATTATGTCTGTAATTTGGACTAAGGAAAGACGTTTGTATTAGTAAACCTCACCCTTATCCATTGAAAGGATGCAGTTTTTGAAAATTTTGACTTGACCCTTCTAAATGAGGTTTAAATATTTCAGGTGGTATATCTTCACTTGATAGCTTTTTTCAGTTTAGAGTGTTTAAATGTTCATGTTGATGGTGTTAAAAGAGTTTAGATGGAGTTCTAGAATCTCAGAAATGAGGAATGTTAACAACAGGTAGGAGGTTGGGGCACATGATTTATTCAGTGTTAATGGAAGCTGACCATCATAGTTCCTTCAAATTAAGCTGCATTCAAATTGAAATCAGTTTGGAGGTTTGAGTTGAAACAAAACAGATTTAAAATTGTTTTTGAAGCATTGAAAGTTACTTATGGAAACCTTCATTTCTGTTTAACTTCACAGTTTGTCATTCTATATATTTGTATGGTAAAAGCAAGGGTTAGCAGTAAGATCAAATATAATTACTTTGAATTTACTCAGAAAAACTGTAAGTTAAAAATTCATGGAAAGCACTTAGCATTGCTCAGTAGTTATCTGCTTTAAGAGGAGAGGAAACATTAAGTAGATGTTTCCCTTATGAGATATTTAAATGAAGTCGTTCATATTTTCATAGTTTATGAACACTTTTATCTTAACTCATGAAATCTTGGGGGGTTATGATAATCATACTCATTATCGTGATAGTATTAGTAAATTATTGCTTTCTGTAAGCCAAACACTAATCTAAATACTTTACACATTTTAACTCATAATTTTCACAACCATATGAGGTAGTTAGCATTACTGTTTTTAATGATAAGCATTTTTCAGGGTTGCCAATTAATATTAAGCTGTAAGTGTTTGATGACTATGGTCAAGTATTATCCTATTTAAATTAGATATTTAACTCTACAGGAGAATGGCACCTAAGAAAATAGTCCTCCCATTTTATTCCCAATGCTGGCATTTATGGTGTTTACTGCTAACTAATTTTGGGTTGTATAGAATATGTAACTGCTACTTGCACAGCCTTTTGTAACTTGTAAATCATACATACTTATTAATCCTCATAGTAACTTTCTGATTTGAACAAAATACAAGTTTTTATTTTTTTTAATTTGCAAGTAAGAAAATCTAGGTTATTTGATATTAAAACATATCCATAAGTGTGTATACTTGATGAGTATTGAGGCTGAGGCTAGAATCCAAGTTTTCTGACTCACGTTTAGTATTTTAGTTAGCAGTGTTTCCCAGAAGGATCTGATAAAATAAAGAAGTGTGTGTATGTATCTGTGTGTTTTGGTTTTCATGGTCTGAAAAATTTTTCCCCAAAGGAAACATTAAGATTAAATATTTTTTGTAAGAAATACAAAGATGTTTGAAGTAGAGTGATTCCCCTTTATGTTTCTGCTTTCCAGTCTCATCCCTCTTAGGGAACCACTGCTTATGTTTAGCTGTATATCTTTCCAAATGGTTGTCTATGTTTATCGATACAAATGTATAAACATAAAATAGGATTTTCTTTTCTTCTAGTTTGCAGAAAAGGATCATGCTATGCTTGTTACTTTGTCACCTGCTTTGTTTTTTTTTTTTAATCATAAAAGTCAGTATGTTAAATTGTTCTTTTAAAATATTATTTGATTTTCTAAAATTTTATTTATATACCATCTACCAGAAAATTATTCATTTACCAAAGGCAATATTATTCTAGATTAATTTATATGACAGAAGATGTAACTCCCTCAATAATTGTTTAGTTCTAAACTCAGGAGTTTTTCTTTTCTATTATACTGTTCAGAAAATATAAATAGTTCAAAAGTAGACATAGATAATATTAGAGTGGAATGTGGTTGGGTATTTTGAGGTGTAGAGGAGGACTAATTGTAAAAGTATGGTATATGTAAAGGCATTGTTTATTGTGGAGATTTCCATATTTTCTTGGTTCATATTGCCCTAGGGTCTCAGTAATTTTTTTCACAATACTGCTTAACCAAAATTAATACCTAATAGTTCCAAGTATTAAGTGATTAGATCCAAACTTAAATGAGTGTGTGTTCTAACAAAATAATACACATATGGCTGGGCACAGTGGCTCATGCCTATAATCTCACTACATTGGGAGGCAGAGACGGAAGGATTGCTTGAAGCCAGGAGTTTGAGACCAGACTGAGCCACATAGTAAGAGCCCATTTCTCTCACACACACACACACACACACACACACGCGCGTGCGCACCTGCACAGTCAGTGTCTCTCTCTCTCTCTCTCTCTCTCTCTCTCTCTCTCTCTCTCTCTCGTTGAAAACAGTTTCTATAAATTTCATTAAAAAAAAAAAAAAAAACAAAACTCCACAGTTACTAATGAGGAGTACCTGATGGACACTACATAACTTCTCAAAACTTGGAATCCTAGAACTCTGCCACCCTCATTTCTTGTATCTCATTGATTTTTATGGGGACTTACTTCTTAATCACAGCCACCCCGAAAAACCTCCACTTTGCAAAAGTAGGAAGTCATTGGGAGGATATAGTGTTATCTATTTTATCTAATGTTAAAACTGTGAAGTATCTCCACCTTCAGTTGAGTTAATGGGATGTCCACAGATGTTGAGGGTCACTGTGAATCTCCTTCATCTGTGGTGAATACACTGTGGAACGTTGGGGCCTCTTGATGCACAGTTTGGGAACCATGGGTTTAGTGTAAAACATACACTTTGGAACCAATGTTAAGTTACGTTGTGCCACTTAGTATAAATTTGGGTAAAGCAGTTTCTTCATCTTTATAAAAAATATGACATTAAAATTTTTCTCATGGGGTTGTTGAGAGTAAAGCTGTTGGCAAGTGCAAGTGCCTAAATATTATCTGATTTATAGACCCCAATAGACAGAGTCTCTCTCTGTTACCTGGTGCGATCTCAGCTCTCTGCTTCCCACGTTTAAGTGATTCTCCTGCCTCAGCCTCCCAAATAGCTTGGACTACAGGTGCTTGTCACCATGCCTGGCTAATTTTTTTATTTTTAGTAGGGATGAGGTTACACCATGTTGGACAGGCTGGTCTTGAACTCTGGCCTCAAGTGATCCTCCTGCCTTGGCCTCCCAAAGTGCTGGGATTACAGGCATGACCCACTGTGCCCAGCCAACCCCAATAAATTTTAGTTATGTTGATGGTGGTTTTGAAACAAAGAATTAAATTTATGTAGAGGAAAAATTGGTCCAAGGAATGGGATAATAGTAGGTACAGTGAATATTCTTGAAAGGAATTAATCATAGGCTTCATCTCTTCATGGATGGGTGAAAATTTAGTTTATCCTTTATCTTGGCTGGTTTTGAACTATATGTAAGGTGGGTAACAGTACTAGGTTTTAAAAAATGATTTAAAAAGTGAATATTGATGGTTTACTTATCAGATATTAATTTAATAACCTTGGCAGAGATAAAGATTTTGTTCACAATCTGTATGCTGTGTTGAGACTTGATTCTGGGCATTTTTGTAACCATGCAACATTGAGCTTTAAAACTAACTGTATCACATTATTTTCTGTTTAAGTTTAGGTGCCCTTATTTTTGGCAGGGGCACTGGCTTCTTTGACCTAGGACTATAATTATTGAGAGTATTACCGCTGTGCCATTGTAAAAAGTAAAAACATGTAATGAAACAATCAAAATTTTTTTTTTTGAGACGGAGTCTCGCTCTGTTGCCCAGGCTAGAGTGCAGTGGCGTGATCTCAGCTACTGCAACTTCTGCCTCCTCGGTTCAAGCAATTCTCCTGCCTCAGCCACCTGAGTAGCTGGGATTACAGGTGTGCATGTGCACCACCACGCTCGGCTAATTTTTAAAAATATTTTTAGTAGGGACAGGGTTTCACTGTGTTGGCCAGGCTGGTCTCGAACTCCTGACCTCATGATCCATCTGCCTTGGCCTCTCAAAGTGTTGGGATTATAGGTGTGAGCCACCATATAGCTCTGCATATAAAAATTGATTATTTCGGCTGGGCATAATGGTGGCACCACCACCATTATATGCAGAGCTAATTTATTTAGTCATCCAAGCTGTATTTAAAAAAAATGTTTCATTTCTGGACTTAGTGAAAACTTTATACTGATTATACAAGAATGATTTGTCTCTACAAAACAGAGAAGCACAAAAAAAGGACCTTTTCTATTGCTGTATAGCAGCTACTGAAGCATATTCATACTTGGTGTTTAGGGGGAAGCCATCTTTACATAGAAATAGAAGCAGACCAGAAAGGGTGGCGAAGAAGCAACATCATTGAAATCCCAGATGCCTGAGGTGTAAAAATACACATTATTTTCCTTAAATATCTTTGGAGAGCCATAAACTTACTGGAACTCTCTTTCAATTAATTTTCCAAAAGTATCTATATTTTATAACTTACAAAGTCTTATGGAAATTATATAGATAAGGAAATGGTCAATAATGCTTATGTTGTTGCTACCAAAATTAAAAGGGGTTAAAAGAAATTAGATTTCTAAAAATATAAGGTGTTAATTTTGTTTATTTATAAAATTGCTTTATAAAATGAAATTATGCTTGATTCTTCTTTTTGTTGTTTTGTTTTAGAAATGGATATCTCACTATGTTGCCCAGGCTAGTCTAAAACTCCTGGCCTCAAGTGATCCTCCTGCCTCAGCCTCTCAAACTGCTGGGATTACAGGCAGCTACCATGCCTAGCTGTTTGATTCTTGAATATCCATAGTGTAGTTTAAATTTTTTTTAAGTAAAAATTTTTGCTTGACCCGTCCTTAAGATATTTATACATGTATATTCATACAACGAAATACATAGGGTGTTTCTAATATGAGAGTTTTGGTGGGTGTCATTAAGGAATGAAATTAATTTGGTCAATTTGGAAATTGTGTTTTTTCCAGATAACTGAGAATCTAATGAAATACTTAGGTTGATTTTTTTCTTCCAAAGCACAGCAATCTGTGACAAGTTAATTTATTTTGAGGTCTTCTGAAGACCCAACCTTCACTGCCTTCAGCCTTTACTCCCATTGAATTAGGAGGTGAAAACAGAAGTTATTCAAGGCCACCTGTCTTGGGGCTGTGTCATGTAGGTTCTGGAAAGGTCCAATTCTGAACCAAGCCATGCCTGCCTAGATTCTGGCTTTAATGACTGAAAAGACTAGAATGGGTGTGGTCTTGGTTTCTTTCACTTGAGTTGGCACATTCGGGAGACTCCACTGTCAGACAAAATAGCCTACCACCTCCATTGACTTAGTTTTTTAGAGTGAACAGGAAAAGAAAGTTTCAAAAAAAAAATTACTATTCTAAGAACAGTTTCATCTGCTCTTAGAAACTCAGTTAAAGTAATATACCTTTAGAAAAAGTAATGAGAAGATATTTTTAATTTATTGCACATAATCTCATGGTACTAGAATAGTATATATTATATGCCTTTTTTTTTTTTTTTTGGGAGACAGAGTCTTACTCTGTTGCCCAGGCTGGAGTGCAGTGGTGTCATCACAGCTTACTACAACCTCCACCTCCCGGGCTCAAGCGATCCTTCTACCTCAGCCTCCCTAGTAGCTGGGACTACAGGTGTGCATCACCAAGCCCAGTTAATTTTTGTATTTTTTGTAGAGACAAGGTTTTGCCATGATGCCCAGGCTGGTCTGGAATACTTGAGCTCAAATAATCTGCTTGCCTAGGCCTCCCAAAGTGCTGGGATTACAGACATGCCTGAGCCACAGTGCCTGGCTTTATGCTTCCTTTTTAACATAGGTAATTTGTAAGGGTATGATTAAAAGACAGAAGTAAAATATGTCCTTGAATTAGCTATTTTAGCCACCTTATAAAGACTCTAAAACTATTTGTGACTATGTAACAATCTGATATCTTTTCTTTAAAAGTTATCTCATGACTACAGTTGGGTATGTTATCCAGTTACAATCCACTCTGTTGCTGTGCCCTCTGAACAGTTTCTTGTACTAATAGTTGTTCAGTTTAGCATCTTGGGTATTCTGCCAAATAACAATTTTCAGTTATGTTAAATTCAACGGAGTTGTAATATTTCTCTGATATAGTTTAAAAGCTAAGCTGGAAAACATTTGCGTATGTGTTTGGGAGGATGCATTGTGGACTTAAGCCACTCTGGGAATAGACAATCTTGAGTGGGAAATAGTTTAGAAGATTTAATATATATGTAAGATGTCTTCATTTCTCAGTTTGGAATGGTTGTGGTTAAGAATGGTTCATCAGACTTAAAAATACAAAAATACTTATAGATCTACTCATACCTAGACACATTGTTTCTTCAAGTTGTGTTTTCAGTAGTTCACTGGGATAAACTTAAATGTGAACATAAATGTTCTGGATGATTAAATAAAATATTATTGCTTAAAGTATTTTGAAGTAAATAATAAAAAGTTGATAGACTGTAGAAATATAATTTTTTCCTTTTTTTCTTTAATATACAGGGAAGTCGAGATAACATGAGTATTGTACTAGTTTGCTTTTCAAATGCTCCCAAAGTCTCAGATGAAGCAGTGAAAAGAGATTCAGAGTTGGATAAGCACTTGGAATCACGGGTTGAAGGTAAGAAAGATGCTTTTTAAAAATTTAGACAGAGACGGAAAGTATTCTTTTTTGTTTATCAAATGATTATTTTAAAATCTCCTGGCCGGGCGCAGTGGCTCATGCCTATAATCCCAGCACTTTGGGAGCCTGAGGCAGGTGGATCACAAGGTCAGGAGATCGAGACCATCCTGGCTTACACAGTGAAACCCCATTTCTACTAAAAATACAAAAAATTAGCTGGGCGTGGTGGCACACACTTGTAGTCCCAGCTACTCAGGAGGCTGAGGCAGAAGAATTGCTTGAACCTTGGAGGTGGAGGTTGCAGTGAGCCAAGATTACGCCACTGCACTTTAGCCTGGGTGACAGAGCAAGACTCTGTCTCCAATAAACAAAAATTTCCTTAGGACAAACAAGTATTTCAAAACAAGGCCTTAAAAAACATGTCTGTCTAAAATTTACTATTTTGGACCCCAGTGTGTGTGGATTTCTTGCCAGGGAGCAGACAAATATGTCTGTTTCACCACCAAAGAGAAACATAGTTTGAAAGTACTTGGTTAAAGCTTTCTTTTTTTTTTTTCTTTTTCTTTCCCTGCATACTTTCCTAGAAGTAAGTGGAGAATTCAGTGAAATTTCCCTTAATGGTCTCATGAAAATGAAGTACTCTAATTCCATTAATACTAATTCTCCCTTCCCAGATTGGAGGGAGAATTGGAATTCATCATCGGAATTCATTACCATATCCTTTCCCTTTTATTGATAGTTAACACTGGTTTAATAGATTATTTTACATATTTTTTAAAACTTCATTTTGCAGTATATATATATATTTTTAAACAGGGTCTTGCTCTGTTGCCCAGGCTGGAATGCAGTGGTGTGATCTCATCTCACTGCAACAGTCTCAACTCCCTGGGCTCAAGTAATCCTCTCACCTCAGCCTCCCAAGTAGCTGGAACTACAGGCACACACCACCACACCTGGCTAGTTTTGTTTATTTTTTGTAGTGATGAGGTCTCACTAATCTCCTGGACCCAAGCAGTGTTCCCACATTGGCCTACCAAAGTGCTGGAATTACAGGCATGAGGCATCATACCCAGCCTAATAATTTTAAACATAGAGAAAAGTTGGAAAAGTATTACAGAGCTCCACATACATGTAGTATCCTTTACCTAGATTCCTCATTTGTTTATATAATACCACATTTGGCTTATCTCTAGATATACTTTGTATAACATTCTCAGTATCTCCCTCCTTCCTTCATTTCTTCCTTCACTCCTCTCATTCCTCTATCTATACTTTCTGTAACATTGTCATTCTCTCTCCCCCCCTCCTTCCTTCCTTCCCCCACTCCTCTCATTCCCCTCCCGCCATATTACTAATCTTTTTCCTGACCAGATCAATTGAAAGTTGCTAATGTGATATACCAATACTCTTTATACAACAAAGATTACATAACACTACATAACTCCAGTGCATCCATAAAAATTAGGAAATTGGCCAGGTGCAGTGTCTCACTCCTATAATTCCAGCACTTTGAGAGGCCAAGGCAGGTGGATCATGAGGTCGGGAATTTGAGACCAGCCTGGCCAACATGGTGAAAGCCCATCGCCACTAAAAATACAAAATTTAGATGGGTGTGGTGGCAGGCGTCTGTGATCCCAGCTACTTGGAAGGCTGAGGCAGAATTGCTTGAACCTGGAAGGTGGAGGTTGCAGTGAGCCGAGATCATGCCACTGTGCTCTAGCCTGGGTGACAGCAAGACTCTGTCTCGGGGTGGGGGTGGGGGGGAATTAACATCGATACAGTATTACTGTGTAATCCACAGATCCCATTTAAATTTTCCAAATTATCCCAGTAATTCATATGTAGATCCAGGATTCAGTCTAGAGGATGTGAGCTGCATTTAGATATCATCATGCCTCTTTAGTCTCCCTCAATAGAAAAAGTTTCATAGTCTTTTGTTTTGTTTTGTTTTGTTTTGTTTTAATTGACCATGACATTTTTCAAAAGTCCAGGTTGGGTTGGCTGATGTTTCCTCTTGATAAGATTTAGGTTATCCATTGTCAGGAATACCGCAGAAGTGATTCTAGATTCTTCTCAGTGCATCACAGTTAGGGAGGCATGTGATGTGATGTTAATTTGTAATACTAACATCTTTAGTGACTTGCTTGGGTTGTTGTCTTTCATTATTTAATTAATATGTTATATCTAATAACTATTCAACAAGTATGTTATGCTTACTAATAAGTATTCTATGGGGAGACACTTTGAGATTGTTAATAACATATTGCTCATTAAGATTTTAGCAGTTTTAGCATCCTTTTGCGATATTTGCCTGAAGAATGATAGCCAACTGGTGATTTTCTGATTCAGTGAATTCATTTTTTTTGAGATAGAGTTTTGCTCTTGTTGCCCAGGCTGGAGTGTAGTGGCACAATCTCAGCTTACTACAACCTCTGCCTCCCGGGTTCAAGAGATTCTCCTGCCTCAGCCTCCCGAGTAGCTGGGATTACAGGCATGCGCCATCATGCCCAGCTAATTTTGTATTTTTAGTAGAGATAGGGTTTCTCCGTGTTGGTCAGGCTGGTCTCGAACTCCTGACCTCAGGTAATCCGCCCACCTTGGCCTCCCAAAGTGCTGGTATTACAGGCATAAGCCACTGTGCCTGGCTCAGTCATTCTTTTTATATGTATTAGCATTTTACTGCAGGAAGAAGTTTTCTGTTTGTTTATATGAGCACAGACTCATAAATTCCTGTTCTATTCATTGTGTTATAAACTGTTTCAGCCAATGAGAGCCTCTTAAAACTTGCTGTAGCATCTTTTTGTCCTGCCCACATGAGTCTGAGCACTTTCTTACTTTCTAGCATAATCAGATGGTCTAGGCTCATTGTTAATTTCTTTGCCCCAGTTCTTTACTGGTCAGTTTTTCCAATGAGCTCTCTCTCTCTCTCTTTTTTTGTTTTTTAGTTTCAGGAAGAATAGTATTTGTGAATTGGGATTTGGGTGTTAGATGTGCTATTGAGGTGTTTTTGTCCCTAGACTCTCTCAGAGTACAAAACTATTAATACACACGCCTCCATATTCTATATGTTTACATTTCTTTCTGGTAGTCTACCCATTCATCCATCACCTATGTATCTTTTGTTCCTACTCTCCAGCTGTACAGTACTACAAGATTTATTATAGTTTTCTTCCTTTTCATATTTATAACTCCTTCTATAGAGAGAAACCTGTCTCCTGATCAACCCGACAAATCTGTCATGGTTAACCCTCACCTCATGCTTTTGCCTTCCTCATTCCACATTGCCCATCCAAGTTCACCCTATATCCATGCTAAAGCTATTTTTACTGTGGTTAGGCATGAATATCCCATTCTGGACCAATCTGTGGCCACCATTTCCCCCTTGACTCCCTGAAAGATTTGTTTTGCTTAGCTAAGCAAATCTAATGGTATTGGACAAAAGTATTCAGGAAAGAGAGAAGGCAGAAGCCAGTCTGTTTATCTTTAACGTAATTGCTGATATGTTTGAGTTGAAATCTGCCATCTTTCTTGTTTCATCTATTTTTTTTCATCCTCCATTCTTGCCTTCTTTTAGATGTATTCCAGTTCATCCTAGGATTTGCTTATTAGTTACACATTCTTTTAAAAATTCATTTAGTAAAAAGAAGGAAAAAGATTATTTAGTGGTTACCCTGATAAATTGAGAATATATGTTGCAGTCCTAAGGCCCTTTTCTTTTTTTCTCTTTTTTACTTTCAACCCGGAGAAGCTAAGGATAATAATCTCAGTATAAACTTTTGATTTTATGTATGCTGTTTTTAAGATATGAAATTTCTCTTTATAAAATTAGATTATCACTCTTTTTTTTTCTTTGTGGGAAGAAAAAAAAGTTCTTCCCTAACTCAAGGTTATATAGTTACCTGTATTTTCTCCTAACACTTTTGTGTTTTGATTCTTTTCTTTTTGTGGAAAATAAATTTGAATGATGTAACTTACAATGATGGTGTCATAGACTTGTTGAATTTGGCCTATTATGAGTCATTCTGTATATAGTAGGCCACAGTAATTGGTGAGAGTTTTGAAGTATGAAGATTTCTAATGTAAAATTACAATTAAAGGATAAAACCAAGGAGAGTGTCTTGCAAATTTGGAGAATGGGGAGTTATCTTTTCTGTCTTTACAACTATTTAGCTGTGGACGCTAAACCACATGCTTAGAGCTTTTGGGAGGTCTCCAATTTCCTTTGCTCTAAATGAATCTTGTTTTTAGGTCTCAGTGCTTTTGAGTCTCAATGAGTCCTGTTTTGAGGGTGATGGAAAGGTGAGAAACACGTAAGAACACACTGAAGATTATATCAGATGCACTCATTCCTATTGATAATATCATTAAGAGGAGCTATTTTTATGAGTTAATTATTTAATGATAAATTGTAGTATGTTGAGGTTGCTTATTGGTGACTATAGTTTGTCAGAAGGTGGGAGGGATTCTCTTATTTTCCTTTTTCCTCAATCATAAAGAAACTGGGTAGTTTTTACTTTAGGAAGAGCTTTCTAGTTTGGCCAGCTGCTAGTTATGTGATCTTATACAACATGCTTAACCCCTTAAGGCTCCAGTGTTTTTGTTGGACACTAAACATAAAAACACCAACTCTAGAATTTTAAAAAATAAATTGTTACAGAAAAAGCTTATTGATGACAGTTGTTAAAGATGGTAAGGCAGATTTTTTTTCCAAGGGGGCCATGGCAGTAGATATGAGGACAACTATGATGGAATCTTGCAGTGGCAGAAAGAAATTAGACTTAACTTGGAGTTCTATAAAGATAAGTAGAACTTATAACTAAGGAGCTGAGTGCTGGGGGGAAGTGTCAGTGGATGGAAAACTATTACTAAGAGGAGGCATCAACATAAGGGGTTTCTGGCTAAACCAACTTGATAAGATGGGAGGCCAGGATAAAATATCCAGAGTGATCATACACCAAGAGCGGGGGGTTTCAATAAACTGACTGAGCAGGAGTCTGATTCAGCCTGGTTTCTGTAAGGACTGAGAGGGAGCCAAAAGTTCTCCTAGTCAGAAAAAACTCAAGAGTCTTATCAAAGGTTTGGTCCAAGGAAAGAGTTTTTGTCAAAATAAATGAGATTATGTTTGTTAAGCACCTATTATGGTGTCTAGCAGGCAGGTCCTCAGCAAACTGTAACTTTTATTAACTCTTAACTTCTATAATAGCTAAATTTTAATTTCTTAAAGGTGCGGTCAATGCAGTTTAACATGGATTAATAATTTAATATTAATTTTCTCATGCATAGTTTGTAATTTACCAAAGTATATATTATATAGCAGAGATGTCAAATACTTAATAATGATCTCTGGGGCCTGTAGCAAATAGTTATTGTTAATCAGGAGACAAAACTGTTAGCTAGGCAGCCACTACAAATAAATTTAAGTTGGTTCTTAAAATATAACTTCATAGGCTGAGCATAGTAGTCACACCTATAATCCCAGCTCTTTGGGACACCAAGGCAGGGTTGCTTGAGGCCAAAAGTTCAAGACAAGCCTGGGCATCATAGACCTACAAAAAAGTTTTTAAAATTAGCTGGGCATGGTGGTACATACCTGTAGTTTCAGCTACTTGGAATACTGAAGCGGAAGGATCACTTGAGTTCAGGAGTTTGAGGTTACAGTGACCTATAATCGCACCACTGCACTCCAGCGTAGGCTACAGATGGAGAACATGTCTTTTTTTTTTTTTTTTTTTTAAGTAACTTTTTATTTATAAAGCAGTGTTCTTCAGGAGCATTATGTTTCTGCTGGAGTTTTAAAATCATGTAATACCACATTAAATATTGTGGTAAATGCATTCTGGTGTTCTCAGTAAACCTGTATATATGCTTTAAGTGATGACTGGTTAGGTGGGAAAGGAATAATACTAAAATAAACAGGGAATGGTAGTTCATCCAAATTGATTAATTATATATTTAATGATTGTTTTCTGCATGTATGTTTATTCAGTGTTCATTGAACATGTGTCACTGAAGATATAGCAGAAAAAGAAGTCTCATGGAGTTTGTATTCCAGTAAAGACCTCTTTTTTTTAATAGAAGATAAATAAAATAGAGTAAGCAGAGAACAGCAAGGTATATTGGTCAGGAATGTCTCTGTGAGGAAGGACATTTGAGCAGAGACATGCATGGAGAGAAAGTATCTGAGGGAAAAACATTCCAGGCAATGAGAACAGCAAAGACTAGGAGGGAATGTGCTTAGTGAGTGTGGCTGGGTTAGAATGAGCCAGTAGAAAATTAGAGGAAGATTAAGAGGTTTGTAGGAGACATATAATATAGGGTTCTGTAGACCCAAGTGAGGACTTTGGACTTTATTTGACTTATGGTAGGAATTCATTGGGAGATTTTGAGTACAAGAGTGATTTGCTCTTTTTTCCATAGGATCTCTCTTAGTTGCTGTAAGGAGAAGAGATTGTATAAAGGGGACAAGAGAAGCCAAGATACCAATTAAAAATCATGCATTAATGCAGGTGGCAGATGATGGTGGTGAATTGGACTAGAGTGGAGGGGTGTGAAAATGTCTGGAGACATTTTTGGTGTCATAGCTGAGGGGGTGCCACTGGCACCTAGTGAATGGAGGCCAGGGATGCTGCTTATATTCCTCAGTGCACAGGACAGCCCCCACAACAAAAAAATTGTCTGGTGAAAAAATGTCAGTATTGTTGATGTTGAGAAGCCTTATGCTATAAAACACAGATTTAAGCTAAAAAAACTTACAGTTCTGTTTTCATGAAGCTTGCAGTCTGTGACACAATAAGTATCTTGTATATGGGAGTATACAGCATTATGGCATATAGTACATGTTATGCATATGGGACATGGGAGTGTATTGCAGTATACTTACTCAGACTTAGGTCAGAAAAGGATTTGAGAATGTGACATATAAAGTTGAAACCTCAAGGGTGAAAATAGGCATTCACCATACAGAGAAGTTGGATTAGTGTGAAAAATGTCCCCAAACCAAGGAAAAGAGTACTTGTGAAAATCTAGAATAGAAGTTTTTGAATAGATAGAGATGAGGGAGTCAGGGGCAGAGTTGAAAGAATAGTGAATGTTAAAGTATAGGTCTTGTGAGGCATGGTAAACTGTTTGGATTTTGTGTCTCCAGGATTGCTGAAGACATTGCTTTTTTGTTTTAAAAGTAAGGCTTGGGCTGGGCACGGTGGCTCACGCCTGTAATCCCAGCACTTTGGGAGGCCAAGGCACGCAGATAGTTTGAGGTCAGGAGTTCAAGACTAGCCTGGCCAACATGGTGAAACCCCGTCTCTTACTAAAAATATAAAAATTAGGTGTGGTGGCGGCAGCTACTGGGAAGGCTGAGGCAGGGAATCACTTGAGCCTGGAAGGTGGAGGTTGCAGTGAGCCAGAATCACACCAGTGCACTACAGCCCGGATGACAGAGCGAGACTCTGCCTCAAAAAAAAAAATTAGTGAAGTTTGGTGTAGTTACAGCTACTTGAGGCTAAGTTGGGAAGATCACTGGAGCCCAAGAGTTCAAGGCTACAGTGAGCTGTGTTTGCATCATTGCGCTCCAGCCTGGGCCACAGAGGGGGAGACCCTGTCTCAAAAAAAATCAATAAGTTGTTATTGATTTTTGAGGAGTTCGTGTCTTGCCAACGTTCAAATAATCATGCTTTAAAAAATTGCTGTAGAATGTAACTATTCAGGTAAGTATCAACCTGTAAAAATGATTTTTAATTTCTCCCTTTTTTCTTATAATTCTTATCCAGCTAATCTCAGCTAATCTTTTTTTTTATTCTGTAGTAATGGCACTCATAACTTTTATATTATTTTTACTTAATATTCGATCAAAAGTATTTTTTCCATATAGCTGTTACGATATTCATAGAGACACCTATTTCATAAATTTTAGTGATTATAGACCATTCCACTCAGTGGATACACCAGAATTTTGTAAACTGTCCTCTTGTTGCTGAACATTTAGTTTGTTCCAGTTTTTGCTTTTTGGAATAATGCTGGAATGAACATACGTATGCAAATAACTTACTTTTCCTTTTTTTCCCCCTGCATAACAATGTTTCACTTAATAAGTTTCTTATATTACTTGGTAAAAATTCCTTGTGTGTTGATGATAATTTTATATATATATATATATTTTTTTTTTTTTTTTTAAATAAATAGTACCTCTTGTTTCACTTCTTGGTGAGTACTGGCTTATCCCATTAATTTAGGAACTTTTTTTAACAACCTACAGAGATTATGGAGAAGTCTGGTGAGGAAGGAATGCCTGATCTTGCCCATGTCATGCGCATCTTGTCTGCAGAAAATATCCCAAATTTACCTCCTGGGGGAGGTCTTGCTGGCAAGTAAGTAGAACAAATAGAGCTAATTTTGAGTTCATTTATAATTAGTACTTAAATAATTTGGGATAAGAAAACGTAAATCAGAAGTACATCAATTATCTAGAGATGAAATGGGCTTTAGTGTTTCTTTTACTAGCGAGGAACTCTAAAACTTCATCCAAAATGAGTTTTTTAAAAGGGAACTATCTATCATACTCTTTGAGGATGAAAGTCCTTCTTTCTTTGCTAATGAGTACAAATGGATTGTTCGAAATCAGATTCTGAGAGCAAGGTGTAGAGAATATGTTCTTGACAAGTATAGAGTGTAGCAGTTAATTTTTTAGTGTAGTCAGGACAAAATATTGAGATATTCACAAGCTTAAAATTCTGTGTAATTGAATAAAACTAAAACATAATTTTTTTTAGGCGCAATGTTATTGAAGCTGTTTATAGTAGACTGAATCCACATAGAGAAAGTGATGGGGTAAGTTTTATTTTATTTTCTAAGCATTTGAAGTAATTTCACAATGTAATTACTAAATATGAGTACATTTACATTAACGAAGTCTGTAATAAATTAAAGTATGTAGTAAATTAAATTACTGTCGCTTTTCATTTTAAGGTGTCAGTTAAAGTTTAAGAAAATGTATTGAAATGAAGATAGAGATGAAACTTTGTTTTGTAGATAGCTTTGTTGTCTCTTTCTGGCCATCAAATGACCTTTTTTGTTTTAGCTGTCTTTTATTTCTTCTCTATATGTCTGCTTTTCCTTCTTCTCCTTTAAACCTTAATTTTGAGGCAAGAATGATCTTTTAAATATCTTAATTTCTCCCCCAGCAGGCTGCTGCCATCACCAGAAGTTAGTAATAGTGAGTGAGTTATTATTTTAATGTCCAGACCTTTTGGTGCCCCTGTATGCCCAGTTGGAATACCCGAGAATAATTTTTTCTAATATTATTGTTGTATTATGGGTGTATATGAGCATTGAGCTGAGATAACCATTTCTGTTGTACCCTGCTGTGCTTCATCAGAGCAAAACTATATGCCTTTACCTTTTATTTGCTTTCCTTCGAAATGTCAACGACCTGCCAGCTGCTTCTCTACATAGTTTTGTTTTGTTTTAGTACTATTACCAGGAGACGGAAGTGTCTTTTTTTTCTTTTTTCCACTCCAAATCAGTTCAGATAAGCACTTTTCTCTTCAGTTTTCAAGTTTTTGGGTATCTAAAAATAAATGACTAATTGTTAATATAGATGCTTCAAAACATAAAGGGAGCGAAACTTAGAAATAAAGGGAAGAAATAGAGCCCCCTCCAGTCTCTGGTTCCTCTTGGCAGGTTGAAAAAGACTATCCATTGGCTAGAAGTCAATTATCGTCTCAATTACATTATTTGCTAGGATTCATTACTACATAGCAATATAAAAACAATAAAAGTATCCTGGTAAAAAGAAAAATTTCACAATATAATTTTAGTGAGTCAAATGAAAGCAGTGCTATATATTGCTGATCATAATTTATATCTTGGTCTAAAGGAGTGATTCTGAGTCTTTTGTTGTGGCAGGTACCTCAAAATATTAAGAATTGTACCCACGGCCGGGCGTGGTGGCTCACGCCTGTAATCACAGCCCTTTGAGAGGCTGAGGCGGGCGGATCACTTGAGGTCAGGAGTTTGAGACCAGCCTGACCAACCATGGAGAAACCCCGTCTCTACTGAAAATACAAAATTAGCCAGGTGCAGTGGCGCATGCCTATAATCCCAGCTACTTGGGAGGCTGAGGCAGGAGAATCGTTTGAACCCAGGAGGTAGAGGTTACAGCGAGCCAAGATTGCACCATTGCACTCCAGCCTGGGCAACAAGAGCGAAACTCCATGTCAAAAAAAATAAAAAGATTTTTTTATTTAATATATACCAAGGATAACTTTTAAAATTTTTTAAAAAAGTGATTACACATAGTAGCTACATAAACAGGGAGTAAATAGGCAATGGAACCATGAAACTTGAGGGAGATGCTCAATATATAAACCTTGCCTTGGCCAGGTGTGGTGGCTCATGCCTGTAATCCAAACACTTTGGGAGGCCAAGGCCGGTGGATCACCTGAAGTCAGGAGTTCAAAACTAGCCTGACCAACATGGCGAAACCCTGTCCCTTTAAAAAAAAATTAAATAAATAAATAGAAAATAAATAAACCTTGCCTTAAATAGATTATTTGACAATATAAATGGGATATATGTACTTAATTACCTTTATACATAAATGTTCTATTAATATCAGAGGATCAAACACTGACAGTATATCATATAGTAGATTCATAGAGGGAGGAGATTAGAAAACATAAGACATGACCCCACCCGCGTGCTCAGTGCAGCTTGTACTATAGTTATAAATACACCTTAAATGATCAAAATCTTTCACATAGCTTAGTAACAAATAAATGACAAAATCTGGAATGTGACCATTGCCATTTGAATTGGGCAGTGATTACTGTGAAAGTTCAGCTAAGTAGGGGAAAAGTTAACTTCTTAAAGAAAAGATAGGATTTGAAGAACGATTTGAATGGCAGAAATGAGATAAGGGCGATGACCTTTCAAGTGGACTAGAGAGGCAAAGACAAAGTATAAGATATCTTCAAAAGAAAGGACATCTGTTAAGGCTAACACAGAGAACTACTGTGGTGAAAAATAAGAATTTAAGTTGCCCGAGGTATTTGCTAAGAGACCAGCCTTTCGAACATCATTTTAGGGTAAGGAACTACCTTAGGTTTGGAGCATAAGAATGATAGATTATAAAAAAAAAATCTATGGTATTTTAATCTGTTAACAAACATTTGCCGTATTAGATTAAAGAGATGCTGGCAGTCAGGTAGTTGTGAAATAATTGCAGAGACCAAATGGTAAGTGTAAATTTATCAGTACATAGATATATGAATTAAAGGAACTTCCCTTGTTTACTAAAAAAAACTGACTCTGCAGCCTAGAATTCTAGATGGGGAAATAATATATGCCTTTCACAGTAGTCACTACCTTAGAAAAATGTTGAACCATAATTGCAAGTAGCAGAAATGCACTGAAAAATCTTTTAAATATATTTCAGAAAGTAGAGTTGGGTATAATTTAGAAATTAAATAATTTTAATATACAGAAAGGTTACTATTTAGGGGAAGCTTCTTAAGTTGTTTACTAAATTTGTTTTTTAATATGTATTCCATACTAATCTAACTTTTTAGAATGTGTTCTATCTTCTTACTGCAAGCAATATTGATATTTTCCCAACTTTTAAAATACAAATTTGTGACAGAGTCTAGCAGAGATGCTTAATCTAGGGATTCATGAATCCCCAGTAATCTTTTGGAAAATCTCCAGAAAAACCAAACTACATTTTGCTGTAAGTTGTCCTTATGTTAGGCAGGGCTCTGGGATCACAGTCCTTCCCTTTTTCTAAAATGCTAGTTTTTGTTTTATAACTAGAATATAAATTATGTGAGATCTGGGACGTTGTCTGATTCATTTATGTCTATAGTCCAAGCACGTATAACAATCTTAGCATATGGTGAGAGCTCAATAAATACTTTTTGGATAGGAAATATTTGTATTTATTCATTTCTAGTAATTTGCTTAAGACTGTCCTTAAGTCCTATATTTAAAAATTAATTTGAGGTTACTAATTGGTATAAAGTCTGTATTATAGGGTTTTATATTTTCATGCAAAAAATTATTTTCTTGAAAAAGACTCATACGGCTTTTGAATTAGTATGCCACTGGTCAAGTAGTTGCACAAGTTGATCATTTTCCAAGAGTACAGTTGTGGAGGGAGGTGACCTGTATTTACCCAGCTCCTACTTGTGCCAAGCTCCCTTATTTTTACATACACAGAGTCATAAGTAATCTTCTCAGCACCCTTCTTTTACACATGAGACTTAGAGAGATGAGGTAGCTTGTACAGGTCACAAAGCTAAATAAATCATGCAGCCAGAATTTGAATTAGGCTGACTCCAAAGCCTGTTCTCTTTACATTATTCCATGTGGCCTCTCTAAGGTAGTTATAGATTATATATGTCTGTAGCCCACCTCATCTCTACAATCCAGGAAAAATCATTTCCTATTCTTTTGTAAATATCATGTTTAATAGTCTTAAGATACTCCATTTTATTGATTGAAATAGGGTCTTGTTCTTTATTCCAAGCTGGAGTACTATGGCGCTATCACAGTTCACTGCAGCCTCAACCTCCCAGGCTCAAGTGATCCTCCCAGCTCAGCCTCCTGAGTAGCTGGGATTACAGGCACACAGCACCACACTCTTTGTGGACACTTTTTGTATTTTTTATAGGGACAGGGTCTCACTTCATTGCCAGGGCTAGTCTTGAACTCCTTGGGGTCAAGTGTCTTCCCACCTCAGCCTCCCAACGTTCTGGGATTACAGGCATGAGCCACTGTACCCAGCCACAAGATACTCTCTTTTTAATGATGAATATTTTATGAAGTTGTTGAAAGGAAGCAGTCAAGCACAGTTCCTTGTCAGTTATTTTTCACTTAAATACACATATTTATTTATTTTAATCCAAAAACTTTGTAAGGCATTTGGATCTTAGAGAAGGGGAGGAAAAATAGGACAGATAAGTCTCTTTTTGAGCCCCAAAGAATCTCTGTAGTGTTTTCACATTATTAAATTTTGCATGCAATCATTTTTCTGTTTTACTTCAAACAGTTAAATGCAATAGCCATAGCTGCTTTTACATTTTTATGTCACAGTTTTTAGAAGTATGTGAATACTAGTTTTTTCATGTTTTTTATTCACTTGTGAAAGCATTGCTATGGAGAAGACTTATACTGTATGAAAATGCACTAACATTAGTCACTATGTTTTTAAGGTATGATTTGATATAACACTTATCTTAGCTGTGCGATCTTGACCATTCGGATGATACTAAGGTTATTCATTAAATTTGACATGATTCTTCAAATAACATCTAATTCATTAGAATCTACATTAGTCATCAATTTTGTCATATTTGAGAATTTTTAGTTAAAAAATTTTTTTTTTGTCTGAGAAGCAGAGCATAGGACTCCACAAGAAACATATTTTTGCTAGTGTTTACTTTCTCTCCGCTATTATAAGTAAATCATTTTAAGAATTTTGGTCATGATATCTGTGTTTTCAAAGATAAGTAATTACTGCAAATAAATAATTAGCTGGTTAAATTTTATTTTTTTTAATGTGCTTAGATTTCCCTCCTTCCCCCTCCTATTACTACTCTCTGCTTGATTTATCTAATTCATCTGTCTTATTTGGTATAAGTTAGTATTTTCATAGTGAGAGATTTTATTTTTAAGCTCTGTTAGCCTAGCTGATAGTAAAACCTTAAAAACAAAAACTAGGGTGGATGGGAAATGTCCTGAATTCTCATCTCAGTAATTGCCTTCAGCTTACATAATAATTATAAACATCCCATCTGATACAATGTATTAATCAACATAACTAGTGTCTTGAAGTTTTACTAATTTTACTCTATTAAGGAACTATATTCTAAACTTTAATATGAAATAACCTGTGGTGTTCTATAATAATTTCACCAATATTTCTTTAGTAAGAGTCTATCTATATGAGGTACTTCCTATGCAAAAAATGCTACTCACCATAATGTATTCAGCAGAGCATAAAGATAGACATTGATGTTAATTATACCTGTGCATGAATCAGAGCTCTGCCACTTACTAAGATTGTCACCCTGACAAATAACTTAATCGCCCTGAGCCTTAGTTTCCTCACTTATAAAAATGATAACTGGAGTACTTACTTTGTAGGGTACCTGTGAGGATTCAGTAAGACTATGTATATAAATTTCTTAGCACAAATATTAATTTTCCTTCCCTAGATGATAGGAGGACATAGAATGGAATATGAAATTGTTTTTACTCTCAAAGAGTTTGCAGTGTTAAGTGGAGAGTCTTGTGAAGGGCTGCAAGGTAGAGTTAATTGCTATAATAGATGTGTAAAAATAGGTGTGCTATATCAACTGTATGAGTTCAGATAAAGAAAGTGCAAGAACCTAGATAATAGGTTTCTCTTCTAATATTAATGAAAGCCCATGAGAGAGTTATGTAACAGTATTTTGAAAAATCAAATGTAATGGCTGGGGAAGAGGTTTCCATCGTCTATTGTCTACCCATAGTGATAAGAAAGTATAATTTGCCCCAAGATAAAATAACTTTTAAGTGTGGTCATTAGCTAAAGTTCTTCTCAATTTAGTGATTCTGTAATGTCAGCCATTGCAAATCCATCTCTACTTGATTTACCAGTTTGGTTTTCTTTTTCTTTTTTTCTTTTTTCTTTTTTGAGACGGAATCTCACTCTGTCTCCCAGGCTGGTGTGCAGTGGTATGATCTCGGCTCACTGCAACCTCCACTTTCCAGGTTCAAGGGACTCTCCCATCTCACCCTTTCAATATCTGAGACTACAGGCATGCACCACCATGCCTGGCTAATTTTTTAATTTTTAGTTGAGACAGGTTTCACCATGTTGGTCAGGCTAGGCTCGAACTCCCAACCTCAAATGATCCACCTACCTTGGCTTCCAAAAGTGAGGCTGGGATTACAGGTGTGAGCCACCTTGCTTGGCCATTATTTGGTTTTAGTATGTCTTTTAAAAAGCAACTTCTCTTCCCCAACTATCACTACTATATCAATTCACAGAAGTACAGGTGATTAATAATGAAAAGTGTCAGTTTGAGAGTGAGAGGTACTTTATCTGTTGAACTCACCAAAATTGACCCAAATAGAATAATCTTTCATCCAACTTTATTAATAAATCCACCTCTAAATAGAGTTATGCCATTTAGTCTATATCAGTGATTCTCAACCCTTGCTGTATATCAGAATTGACTGTCAGGCTTTAAAAGAACAACCCAAATCCACTGAATCTGTGGATTTTAAAAGGGAACTTTGGCATGTATGCAATTTTAATAGCTCCAAGGTAATTCCAGTGTGAAACCACAGTTGATAATCACTTATATGTGTAAGCCACCTTGTTTGAGGCAGATTTTGTTTTAATGTCCTATAATTTTTTTTAAATAAAATGGTAGGGTTTTTTCTTTCTTTCTTTTTTGTTGGGGAGTTTTTTGGGGGAGAGGGTTGTAGGCTCTGCATTAAAAGATCTTTGTGATATACTGTAAAGTAGAAAATTTCCTCTTAAAGACTGATAAGGTTTATCATTCGAGTACACTTACCCCCATTGTTCCATCTCAACTCTTTCTGAATAGATTCAAATGGGAAACTTTATTTTTTAATATTTACTTACTTGAGACAGGGTCTTTCTCTATTGCCCAGGCTGGAATGTAGTGGGTGCGTAATCTCAACCTCCTGTGCTAAAGTGATCCTCCCACCTTAGCTTCCCAGTAGCTGGGACCACAGGTGTGTGCTGCCACACCTAATTTTTAAAATTTTTGTTTTGTAGAGATGGATTCTCCCTGTGTTGCCCAGGCTGGTCTCAAACTCCTGGGCTCAAGTGATCCTTTCACCTTGGCCTCCCAAAGTGCTGGGATTACAGGCATGAGCCACCAGCCCTGGCTGAGAAATTTTAATTAGGGAAACATGTTTAAAGTCCACATAATAAATTTTGCAAATTAAAAGGCAGTTAATATGCTTGTTGTAGAAAATTGGAAAATTCAAAGAAGATAAAATATCTAGAACTCCCCTACCCATTATTATTATATTGCTGTATTTCCTTTCTTTCCAGGTATTTTTCATAAGCTAAAATGAATAGATACACAGACATGTATGTACCCAAAAAACATGGGCCATACACAGTATCATCTCTTTTTTCTTTTTTTGGAATTGGAGTCTTGCTTTGTTGCTTAGGCTGGAGTGCAGTGGGTGTGATCTTGGCTCACTGTAACCTCCACCTCCCGTGTTCAAGCAGTTCTCCTGCCTCAGCCTCCCTAGTAGCTGGGATTACAGGTGCCTGCCAGCACTCCTGGCAATTTTTAGTAGAGATGGGGTTTCACCATGTTGGCCAGGCTGGTCTCAAACTCTTGACCTCAGGTTGATCCACATGCCTCAGCCTCCCAAAGTGCTGCAATTACAGGCATAAGCCACTGCACCTGGCCCAGTATCATCTCATTTTTTGCCCGGAGGTCACTTCCTCCCCCTCCCCTGACATGTCTGAGGCAGGAAAACAAGCACTATTTTTTTTAAGAGGATCTCTGTCGTCCAGACTGGAGTTCAGCGGTACGATCATGGGTCACTGAAGTCTCAACCTCCTGGGCTTAGTTCAGCCTCTCATCTCAGTTCTCTGAGTAGCTGGGACTATAGGCTCCTTTTAAATGTTTTTTTGTATAGACGGGGGTCTCACTGTGTTGCCCAGACTGGCTTTGAACTCCTGACCTTAAGCTGTCCTCTTACCCTTATCTCCCAAAGTGGTGAAATTACAAATGTGAGTAGCTGCTCCTGGCCATTGAGGGCAACTTTTTAAAAAATAACATTCATGTGCACTCATTTTGCTAATAAAACATTGCCATTTATTATTTGGCTTCAGTAGTGTTATCTTTGTTGCACAAGTATAATGTAATAGTCTCTAAAGGTGGTTAAAAGTTTGTGTCAGATGGAAACCTCCAAACATATTTAAAAAGGGATATGATATGTTGAAACAGCCGTATATCTTCTATCTAGATTCAGCAACTGTGAACATTTTGCCATAGTTGCTATATTTTTCTTTCTATATCTACTGTTGTTTTTTTTTTTGACTGAACCCTTTGAGAGCAAATTGCAGATACCATATTTTACCTGTAAACATTTCAGCATGCAGCTCTTAAAAATGAAAACAATTTTCTGCATAACTGTAATACCATTACTATACCTAAGAAAATTAATTTTTTAAAAATTAATTTTTAATTTTGGGGTATACATAGTAGGTATATAAAATAATAAATTTTATAATGTCATCGAATATCGACTCTTAATTTTCCCAGAATGACTATTATAATAGTTATTTTGAATCACAGTCTAATTAAGTTAAGTCATCAGTCAAGCACATTAAACAAGTCTTTAATCAGTCAAGCCCCCTCACCTGTTTTTTCCCGTTACACTGACTTTGAAGAGGTTGAGCCAGTTTTTTTATAGTCCTTCCTACATTATGGATTCATATGATTGTTTTCTCATGGTGTCTTTTAACTTGATCCTCTATTCCCTTTTTTCCTGTAAACTGGGAATTAACATTATTAGATTGGTTTTAAATGTTTTTTGGCACAAATACAGGACATGACTGTTCCTTATAATGCATCATATCAGGTGGCACATAATGTAAAGATGTCTTGATTTTAGTCTGTCAGCTTAACTGTGATTAGCTTCGATGATTAGTGCTTGTTCTGTCTACAGTGTTAAGTAATTACTATTGTAGAAACCTGTAGATTTTCCAAAATTTATTAAAATATGAAAGGATTGAGTGGTTTATTATTCATACTTAGAATATTTTCATCTAAAGATGCTTTTATCAAAATATTTAAGGGCAAAAAGTAAATAAAATTTTTATCCATGAAAACTTTAAAATCTTTCAAAAATCTGTTTAAATCTATATAGTTTTATGTTTTATATCTCCTACTTATCATTTAGCAGAAATGATGAAGGAACTGTTCTGATGGTCTGCTTTTCTGTCCTTTTCCTACTGCTTTAAACATTAATTTTCTTTTGTACTAAATCATATAGCCAATTATTGTTTTTTTAAGTAAGTCAGTTTTAGGAAATGCTTGTGTTGCTGTTTAATTATAAAAGCTGAGTAAATTTCAGATTAAACTTAAAATAACTGAAATAAGACATAAACTAGTTAATGGTAATTTGCTAGAAATGATGAGATATTATAATTGGAAGTTTTTATTGATGCAGGTAAGAATTGATATTTAATAAAATGTTCTCATGCTTAGACTATATTTTTGGTAGAGAAATTAGTGTTTTGCTGTAATGTGTTATGAAATACATGTGATATCCTAGTTTGTCTACTGACACTGGGGTCTTGAATCTTAAAAAAAGGCCTCCGATGAAGCAGAGGAAAGTGGATCACAGGGAAAATTGGTGGAAGCTCTCAGGCAAATGAGAATTAATCATAGGGGAAACTACCGACAACTTCTGGAGGAGATGCTGACTAGTTACAGGCTAGCTAAAGTAGAGGGAGAAGAAAGCCCTGCTGAACCAGCTGCCACAGCTACTTCTTCGAACAGTGATGCTGGAAACCCAGTGACAATGCAGGAAAGCCATACTGAATCAGAAAGTGGTCTTGCTGAATTAGACAGCTCTAATGAAGATGCAGGGACAAAGATGAGTGGTGAAAAAATATGACTTTCCTTTTTGGTAATATTTTTGTGATCTTTGATGGTTTTTAACTTAGGAAGTATAATGTATGCATTTATATAACCGTTTTGTTATTTGAATCTTGGAAAACTAGTTTTATTATATTCAGATAGCCTTGTTTTTTAAAAAGGCCTTTGCATACACCTTTATGAGATAGTGTAAAATTGACTATTTATAGTACTTTGGATTTAATGAAATTTATGTCATTTCACATTGTATGCCAGAAATTAGGCTACCAATTATTAATAAAAGTCAGTAGTTAAATTAATACTAGATAGGATTAGAAATTTTGATTAGAGAGATTACACTATATTATGGAAAAACTTGTTAATGTAGAATTATACTGCTTCATATTATTTTACCTATTAGGACACTCATAGTTAGCTTTGTAATAAATTTATGTTTTCTTTAATAATTTTAGTTCTTCAAGAATGGCTTATGATGGCCTGTAATTTTTCTTTCAAGGATTATTTGTGTGTTGTTTGATTTGTTTATATTTTACATCTCTGTAGTTTTACTTTTAGAAGTTTTGAGATATTGGATATGTGGTTATTTTTCCCTTCTCTGTATTCTTTATGAAACATAACTTTTGGAAAACCTATGTATTCATACAGCTTTGGTTTGTATATTCTGTATAGTCTAACTACACGCATCAAAATGTATGTCAACCAAGTGTTTAGAATGAAATTATAAGTGTTTAAGTCCAAATAAAGCATGTGATGTGGAATAATCTATGCATGTTGTACTTATTTTTGAATTAATTTTTTTTTAAAACAACCAGGTGTTTGGTATATTGGAAGAATACCCATTAGAAATTCATTTGTATTTATATAACATTTAGAACACTTTTGGCTTACCTTTTTCATTAACAAAAAGGAAAGAAGTTTAATATAAAAATATATGTGTTGCATACTTAAATCTATTCTTTTTCTTATCCATCTTTTGTGGTACAAAATATTAATGTTTGGACATTATGGGCACACATAGATGTGAGAAAATTGCCACAGTGAGCATTTTAAAGATTGCAGAATTGTCAACTTTGTTACTAATTTTTATTAGTTATTAATAAATGGAGTAATTATAGGCTATTTTTAAAATAGTGGCAGATGAGAGTTTTTGTTTAAAGGGATTTTTAAATAATAGATTAGTCACATGGGGAAAATATTTTTTTAAAAATTATTTTATGACTGTAGAATATTAACTTTTCTTCTTTACGTTTATATTTATATCACATGTCTAAAGTTGCTTGTTACCATAAATTGAAACTTTGGAATCTTGGATGTTATAGCTGATGTTTTAATGTATTTTTCCAATGCCAGAATATTTTTAAGTGTTTTGAGAAAGGAAGGCATTTGGTGGAGAGGGGAGGAAAATAACCCAACCCAGTTATCTATCTGTATTAGATAGATACATGTGTACACACACAATATACAATACACAACGTCTCTCTGTAAAAGTACCTTTTCAGACAAAGAAAGGAAGGTAATTTGTTCATCAATTTTGTTTTCTTTTGAAATTCAGTCCAATCTGGAAGTGGTATAGGTAAATAATAATAATATTCTTCCTTTTCTCTTCCTGTAGGGTGCTGGAGATCTAGAAGACCCATGGTAGCCTTAAAAACCTTCTAAAATGCTTTTGATTCTGAAAATTGGGGGAAAAAACTTTTAATCACAATTTTCTTCAATACAAGGGGAAAATATTCTTGCGGATTCCCAACGTTTTGTGATATGAGCAGAATATCATTAGCATTTCCCATCATTTGTTCATATTTGTGTTTTCTGACAGTTGCCACTCGTAGCATTGCCTGTACTACAGTATTTTTTGCCAACCTCAGGCATACTCATTACATCTGTATTGAACTTTTGGCCCTAGAAACCAGAGGAGTTATTTCACCACAAATCAGCAATGTGCCTGAGGTGCATGGGAAATAATAGTTAGCTATACTCTGAAAATACATTCTGTTTTTTTCTTTAAACAAAACACACAACATGTGAGCATGTAAGAGTGAAGAATTGTATGATATGTTCCATTTTTCAGTTCACCAAGTTGGAAGCCTATTGCAGCTCTGTGGCTTGGAATTTCATTTGAGCAATTTACTATAGGATATGTATTTATTATTAATTGTTATTTAATTTTTTTCCAATTTTACCTGTATTACCAAACTGGGTTCTCCAATAATGTCCAAATTGTAATGTTGCCTTGCTTCAAGATAAAGTGTATTTGGCAATGATATAAATCCTTACAAATTTTATGCATGTATCTACTGCATCCTTCAACTCTCACTAGAAAATCTTTTGAAACCAAATGGATTAATTTATGGCTATTTATAATTTGCTTTGACATCTCACTGTTGCAAAATTTTTTAAAGATGAGATTTGCCTTTATAATGTAAATTGTGATTTTTGTTTTACCTGTGGGTTTCTATAGTTTTAATTTTTTTCAGCTTTTAAGATACAAGTTTTATGTAATTTGGTATTTTTAATCATTTATGTTATTTTAAAAGCTCAGAATATCACGTTGAAATTACTATAAATACATTTAAAATTATCTATTTTAGATCTAAGGAGATATTACAGAGATATTTTCATGGGTTCAGTAACCTTTCATTTTATAACATTGGGCACGGTACAGAGTGGCTGTCACATAAGGTACTTGAAGATTTATTTAATTCTATTTTTACAGTAACCTTGAATTCTTCTGAGTTTTGCATGTATTAAATTCAATTAATACTGAACATGAAGAGTAAAGTATTTATATGAAAGAAGTTACTGGGTTAGGAGAAGTAATGAATGTATCCATTTGTACATGGTTTACATGTTGTGGATGCTTTGTAAACATTTCCTATATGTTTAAATTGTGTTTCAGCAGGATGTAATTGCCTTTGTGTGTAGTTTAAATGAGTCGTCATCTGGTCCTGTGTCAAATGGAATTCATAGTATTTTCTGTAACATTTTCCTGAAGCTATTTTTGGAGAGCCACACATTTAAGTACAGACAGCTTTCTGATCATTTGATTTATTGTGCACCTGATTTTTGGTCTAAAAGGAATTATTGCCACAATATGTTTTATTTATTCTTTAGATTTTAGCCTTGTAAGTAAAAGTGCTTTACATGATGATGTTAAAAGCTGTTTGTCCCTTTACTGGGTTTGGGGGGTTAAAAGATAAGAATGAAGAATGCAAATGGTTTATTGTTCAAACTGTCCACTCTGATCCAACCCTGTACTAATAGTACTTTCCAGTATGATATTGTGATGTTTCATACAATGCAGTGAACATAACCAACTTGTTACCTAAATAAAGAATTGATAAAAACAGTGTGACATATTACTATTTGATATGATTCAGTTTTGAATGTTACTTTAAACTTATTATGTAGTTGGCCTACTTGTGAAAATTTAATTCCAAAGAGGAATTACCCAAACTGTACCTGACAATATTGATTAATCCCTTCTCTACTCCAGAAATATTTATACTCCCTTTTTAAAAACCTGTCTTTTTCGGGGGGGTTACTGGTGCTTGAAATAGGAATAATTATGAAATAGTAAAAGAAAAAACTCGAGTTCACTGTTGACTCATCTGAATTTCCTAGCCTGGCTATTCTCAAATATTTTGGTCTCAGGACCCATTTATATTCTTAAAATTGTATATTCCAATGAACTTTTGCTTTTGTGGATACTATCAATATTTGCTATATTAGAAATTAAAACTGAGAAATTATACATATTGTTTTAATTTGTTTTAAAAAATACATGTTAACATAAAACCATTTTATGAAAAATAATTATCTTACAAGTTAAGATATAAAAAATCAGTGTAAAAAGAAGGATCCATTTTCATTTTTGTGAGCCCATTAATGTTGGGCTGAATTGTTGTTTGTGCTTCTGCGTTCAGTCTGTTGCAGTGTAGTACGGCCCGATGGTTGAAGTATAAGAAGGAACCTGGCCTCACACAGATAGGTAGTTGGAAAAGAGGAGTCATTTTAGTAGCTTCAGATAATTGTAGATATCAAAACTTTACAACTGATAGTTTCTTGAAGGTTGGTTGCAATGTGAAATAGGAAAGTTTATTAGAGGACTTTTCTTAGTTTGTTACGTTAAAATCCACTAGTTCTGTCTTGCATTTTGAATGGACCTTCTGCCTATGCATGGTTTTGTCACATCATGAATTGGTCATTTGGAAAATACTGGTTCACTGAATTCTGCAGTTCTTCTAAATATTGACGTGTTATTCTGCAGTGATTAAAATATTTTGTTAAGGCCAGGCACGGTGGCTCACACCTGTAATCCCAGCACTTTGGGAGGCCGAGGCGGGGTGATCACCTGATGTCAGGAGTTTGAGACCAGCCTGACCAACATGGAGAAGCCCATCTCTAGTAAAAATACAAAAATTAGCTGAGTGTGGTGGCACATGCTTGTAATCCCAGCTACTTGGGAGGCTGAGACGAGTATCACTTGAACCCCGGAGGCAGAGGTCGCAGTTAGTCGAGATCGCACCATTTTACTGCAGCCTGGGAAACGAGTGAAACTGTCTCAAAAAAAGAAAATTATGTTAATAAAAGTGATCTTGTTGAAAAAATATTTTAAGTATTGGGAAGCTGTCAAGTTCACAGTGATGGATACAGATTTTTCAAAATTCTGATTTTACTATAAAAGGTGAAATTTTATTATTGGCAACA